AATGATTACCATTTCCGCTGTTTCTTAGGTGGAAAGGTTATACTATAATCCAGTCTTCTTTATTGCTTCTATCCATTGACTTTCTGGGGATTTTCCCCCCACCTTTGAAAATTTTAGCACTTTGCTCTCTGCTTTCTGTCTCAAGTTCACTTGTTAAGAATCTGTTCCTGGGGAGACTTGGTGGCTCAGTGAGTTGAGGCTGACTCTTGATTTCAGCACAGGTCATGATCTCACTGTCCTGGGATGGAGCTCCAAGTTGGGCTCTCCATTGGTGTGGAGCCTGCTTGAGATTCTCTCTCTCCCTCTTCCTTTGCCCCTTCCCAGCTTGAGTTTGTGCACGCGCTCGCTCTCTCACACTCTTTGTCTTAAAAAAAAAAAAAATCCTAAACTATAGATAACTTTCCACTGTCTAACCCACTGAAGCACCCTTTTGCCTCAAAAATAGTCTTTTACTCTTGGGTAATCTCATTTATTCTTTTTCCAATCAATGCAGAAGCCACTGAGGTGGGACCTTGAGATAATTTTTTTTTTCAACATAATACTTAATTTTTTAAAATTTACGTCCAAATTAGCACATAGTGCAACAATGATTTCAGGGGTAGATTCCTTAATGCCCATTACCCATTTAGCCCATCCCCCCACAACCCCTTCAGTAACCCTCTGTTTGTTCTCCATATTTATGAGTCTTTTATGCTTTGTCCCCCTCCCTGTTTTTATATTATTTTTGTTTCCCCTCCCTTATGTTCATCTGTTTTGTCTCTTAAAGTCCTCATATGAGTGAAGTCATATGATATTTGTCTTTTTCTGACTAATTTCACTTAGCATGATACCCTCCTGTTCCATCCATGTAGTTGCAAATGGCAAGATTTATTCTTTTTTGATTGCTGAGTAATACTCCATTGTATATATATATATACCACATCTTCTTTATCCATTCATCTGTCAGTGAAAATACAGGCTCTTTCCATACTTTGGCTATTGTAGATAGTGCTGCTATAAACATTTGGGTGCATGTGTCCCTTCAAAACAGCATACCTATATCCCTTGGATAAATACCTAGTAGTGCAATTGCTGGGTCATAGGGTAGTTCTATTTTTATTTTTTGAGGAGCCTCCACACTGTTTTCCAGAGTGGCTATACCAGCTAGCATTCCCACCAGCAGTGCAAAAGAGATCCTCTTTCTCTGCATCCTCACCAACATCTGTTGTTGCCTGAGTTGTTCACGCAACCATTCTGATAGGTGTCAGGTGGTATCTCATGGTGGTTTTGATTTGTATTACCCTGATGATGAGTGATGTTGAGCATTTTGTCATGTGTTGGTTGGCCATCTGGATGTCTTCTTTGCAGAAGTGTCTATTCATGTCTTTTGCCCATTTCTTCACTGGATTATTTGTGTTTTTGGTTGAGTTTGATAAGTTCCTCATAGATTTTGGATACTAACCCTTTATCTGATATGTCATTTGCAAATGTCTTCTCCCATTCCTTCGGTTGCCTTTTAGTTTTGCTGATTGTTTTCTTCTCTGTGCAGAAGCTTTTTATTTTGATGAGGTCCCAATAGTTCATTTTTGGTTTTGTTTCCCTGGCCTCTGGAGATGTGGTGAGTAAAAAGTTGCTGTGGCCAAGATCAAAGAGGTTTTTGCCTGCTTTCTCCTCGAGGGTTTTGATGGCTTCCTGTCTTACCTTTAGGTCTTTTATCCATTTTGAGTTTATTTTTGTGTACGGTGTAAGAAAGTGGTCCAGGTTTATTCTTCTGCATGTCGCTGTCCAGTTTTCCCAGCACCACGTGCTGAAGAGACTGTCTTTATTCCATTGGATATTCCTTCCTGTTTTGTCAAAGATTAGTTTGCCATACATTTGTGGGTCCCTTTCTGGGTTCTCTATTCTTTTCCATTGATCTGAGAGTCTGTTCTTGTACCAGTACCATACTGTCTTGATGATTACAGCTTTGTAGTATAGCTTGAAGTCCAGGATTGTGATGCCTCCAGCTTCGGTTTTCTTTTTCAAGATTGCTTTGGCTATTCAGGGTATTCTCTGGTTCCATACAAATTGTAGGATTATTTGTTCTAGCTCCGTGAAGAATGCTGGTGTTATTTTGATAGGGATTGCATTGAATATGTAGATCGCTTTGGGTAGTATCAACATTTTAACAATATTGTTCTTCCTATCCAGGAGCATGGAATCTTTTTCCATTTTTTTGTGTCTTCTTCAATTTTTGTCATAAGCTTTCTATAGTTATCACGTATAATTCACCTCTTTGGTTAGATTTATTCCTAGGTGTTTTATGGTTTTTGGTGCAACTGTAAATGGGACCGATTCCTTGATTTCTCTCTCTGTTGCTTCATTGTTGGTGTGACCCTGAGAGGATATTGTTGGAACTCTGGCTATTCTTCAAGTCTCAGTTGACAGAGCTGGGTTTTTATACTCTTGTTGAGTACCCAGCTGTTATATTCTGTGTCACTAATTCCTTTTTTGGTCTTGACCAAATATAACACAGAATATAGCAGCTGGGTACTCAACAAGAGTATAAAAACCCAGCTCTGTCAACTGAGACTTGAAGAATAGCCAGAGTTCCAACAATATCCTCTCAGGGTCACACCAACAATGAAGCAACAGAGAGAGAAATCAAGGAATCGGTCCCATTTATTTATTTATTACAGTTTATTTATTACAGTTGCACCAAAAACCATAAAACACCTAGGAATAAATCTAAGCAAGTCACAGTTAATGCAGGATTCTGTTAATAGAGTATTTTTTGGTTGCTTCTTTTTCTGTTCATGTTTAGTGATAAAACGGCATGAGATGTGGGGATACACACATTGGTTCATTACTGGTCTTGTGTGATTGATTCATCACTGTGGCCTCTCAAGACCTTACCCCTCTCATTTTCAGTGACCTTCATTTACCTATCTGTTGGACCCTGTCTGGATATTGTTGTCATCTTCACTGGGCTGAAAAATAAGTACTAAGGCTATTTCTTAACCTCTGATCACAGATTTTGTCATTCCATAACTTCTACAAAATGCATTCCTGTGCATTTTTGAATTTTATAGGGAGCTCTAGGTCCCCTATGTTGTCCCTTTTGGCTACATTTTATCTTATACCCTTCTTTGCCTCGTTCACATACCGTGTTCTATCAATTCAGTGGATCATGGATCTTCTACTGATAGCCTCAATTCCCTGTTCTTTGGAATTCACCCCCTTGGTTAAAGCTGTATCCATGTATTAGTCTAACTTTCACCTTTCTTAGTCTTGACTCAAACAATACTGCTGGAGGAAATTATACAGTAGTTCAGATTGTTGCCATTAAAAAAAAAAATACTGGTCTCCATCTGCAGTGGACACAGAATGTTTTAGAGCAAGCATATCATGATTGCATAGTGAGCTTCCATCCTCCTCAGTGAATATTTTAGACCTCCAGCACTTGTCTCAAATGCCAAACCTGGAGTTTCTTAACCTCAGCAATGTTGGCATTTTGAGCTGGATAAGTCTTTATTAGAGCTGTCTTATGAATTGTACACTATTTAGAAGCATCCTTGGTCTGTACCACTGGATGTCCCTAGTTATCTCCAGATATTACTATCATTCCCAGCTCCTGATTGTACCAACCAAAATATCTGCATTTATTAGTAAATGTTGCCTGGATGGGGACAAAATCCCCCTTTAGTTGAGAAATGTTGGTCTAATTCTACTATATTGACCCCTATTCTTAGTTATATTGAAATGATCTCCAGCTTCAGAGCATAATTTTATACTCTCTTACATGGGAACATCCGTATCGTCCTGGCACCAAACTTCCACAGAGTCTTCAATCTGTAGTCATGCTCTTACTAAGACTGTATTCTCTTCTGAGCTCTGGTTCCCCTCCCTCCACTCTCCCCACTGCCATCAACATTCCACCATATTCAAGTTCCTTCCATTAATGGAAACAAAGCAAAAAAAAAAAAAAAAAAAAAACGCTCAACTCAGATTACCTGAAGCTGTCCTTATTTAGAGTAATGTAACTTCTCATTCCTTCATATATTATAGCCTCATTTCCAGTCCCACCTTTTGAAGGAACTACTCTCAGTGAGGTCCTCGATGACCCTTTGAGCAATCCACAATACCTCATCAGTCCTTACCCT